AAAAAAAAGAGGGAAAGAGAGGGAGAGAGAGAGAGAGAGAGACGGTCTCCGAGCTACATAGTTCGGACCAAAGAAAAGCCACCATCCACGCCAAACCTTGCACAAAAAGCAGTGCAAACTGTAACCTGCATCCTTGTGCGTTTCGGAGGCCGCAACAACGAAACCACCCTCAGCCCAACCGCCCAAAGCGATTGAGTAGACTCAGCCTCAAACCCACGTCCTGGCAACTCTCCATGGTAAACAAATCGAGCTGCAGATCTACGAAGCTACGCACACCAACCTTGGAATCTTGAGCTACGTTGGGCAAACGGGATCTCACAGACAACGGTTGGGTGGTCGGGTCCTATAGTGAACTGGTGATGTAATCTCCGGGCAAACCGGTCTTTACAAACAACGAGTGCCTCAGCAGCGGTGAAGGGTTCTTCAGCAGCGGCCTTGCGAATGATGGGATCTTCAGCTGTGCTGGGCAACAGGGGCACCATAGCAAAAAGCTGGGCCATTTCCATCTCAAGCCGACCCTGTATGCATCGTCAGAGGCACGCGCAAATCCCAGTTGCCAAAACCCTCCAACTGGCAATGCATTCTTCAAGCAGAAAAATCGAAACAAAGAAACCGTGTGCACCTCAGCAGCCGTCACGGGCTCCGGCAGAGATGCCACCTGCCCGAATGGCTGCATATATAATATACGTATATCATATATACACCTTTACCCATCCTTGTTTGTGTCTGGTTTCCTTTGTGTATTTGCGCGTGTGGATGTCATTGCTTCTTTGCATGTCTTTGCTCTGTGTGTTGATGGCACTTGGGCATCTGACAATGCTACCTGTGACAGTTAGAACCAATGCAGGTGCCTCTTACAAACGGGCTTTTTGAACAACCAGGAACTTCATGGTGCATCTCAACCTGGGAACCAAACCAGAAAGCCCAAAGAGGAAGCACAACAAGTGCCCACGGCAAGCAGCGCGCAGCAACAGATCTGCAGCTGCTTTGCTGCTTTAAATAGCGGTGTTCAGGCAGAGCCGGTTGCTCGAAGAACACTGGTATACCGGCATACCTTTCAACAAACACCACCACCGCCACCATGTCGGGGAAGCCAACAAGCTTTGGAAGGAGAGCATGTGCGGATCGTCATGCCCCATGTTTCACGCTGAGTTTTCATGATGCGCGCCGTGGCCTCCTCGACCACTTCAGGCTCTGCCTGCACGGGAACAGACTTGCATGGTAATCAGATGGGGCTCACGCAAGTTTTTACACCTGTTCACGACTAAGTAGATTCAAGATTCGATCAACAAAACCTCTGGCATTGTCATTGTTGGCTTGGGTGTCACGGCTGAAAGCAGGTTAGCAAGTTCATAGGAACCTGGTTGATTCCGGAATTTGGAAGTGCAGAACTAGCTGGAACTAGTATACAGTAAACCGAAGCCAGAGAAAGAGAGAGAGAGAGAGAAAGAGGGAAAGATAGAGAGCGAGAGAGAGACGGTCTCCGAGCTACATGGTTCGGACCAAAGACCAAACAAACGCCACCATCGACGCCAAACCTTGCAGACAAAGGCAGCCAAAGTGTAACCTGCATCCTTGTGCGTTCCGGAGGCCGCAAGAACGAAACCGCCCTCAGACCAACGGCTCAATGCGATCAAGTAGACCCAGCCTCAAACCCACGTCCTGGCACCTCTCCCCGGTAAAGAAATCGAGCTGCAGATCTACAAAACCACGGAACCAATCTTGGAATCTTGAGCTACGTTGGGCAAACGGGATCTCACAGACAACCGTTCGGCAGTCGGGTCCTATAGTGAACTGGTGGTGTATATCTTCGGGCAAACCGGTCTGGACAAACAACGACTGTGCCTCAGCAGTGGCGAAGGGTTCATCAACAGCGTCCTTGCGAAAAATGGGATGTTCAGCTGTGCTGGGCAACAGGGGCACCATAGCAAAGAGCTGGGTCATTTCCACCTCAAGGCGACCCTGTCTGCATCGTCAAAGGCACGCGCAAATCTCAGTTGCCAAAACCCTCCAACTGGCAATGCATTCTTAGAAGTACACAAATCGAAACTAAGAAACCGTGTGCACCTGAGCAGCCGTCACGGGCTCCGGCACAGATGTCACCTGCCCGGATGGCTGCAGATATAATATGAGTATATACATATATACACCTTTACCCATCCTTGTTTGTGTGTTGTATTCTTTGCGTGCTTGCGCGTGTGGATGTCATTGCTTCTTTGCATGTCTTTGCTCTGTGTGTTGATGGCACTTGGGCATCTGACAATGCTATATGTGACAGTTATAACCACTGCAGGTGCCTCTTACAAACGGGCTTTTTGAACATCCAGGAACTTCATGGTGCATCTCAACCTGGGAACCAAACCAGAAAGCCCAAAGAGGGAGCACAGCAAGTGCAACCGGCAAGCAGCGCACAGCAACAGATCTGCAACTGCTTTGCTGCTTCAATCAGCTGTGTTTAGGCAGAGCCGATTGCTCGAAGAACACTGGTGCAGGTATACCT